TTGGGGCTGGGCACCCCATGGTCATTTATTCTCTGAGTTTTGCAATAGCCTCTGTCTACTGCAAAAAGAAACTTCTTCGATGAAGTATGAGAGCTACACCTAGCTATGGGTATGAAGATGGTATAAAAGGCAGATAGGGAACTATATTAACTTAGGAAAATGAGAATAAATTAAATTCTTCTCTATGTTATTTTTTGGGGGGGTCTCATTATGTAGCTCTGGCTTGTTTGGAACTCACAGATCTCCACCTGCCTCTGCCTCATGAGTGCTGAAATTAAAGGCGAGCACCACCACAACTGGCTCTTTAGGTTCTTGGCTAGGTTTAAAGTACCAGATATGAGTTCCTGCCTATTGATCAGCCCTTAGGTCCAATTAGACAGCTGTTGTTACCCCTAAGATATAAGTGCCACTATTGCATCATTGAGGGTATCATGCCAGGCTAGTTGTTGTGGTTCACGAGCTTTAAGCTAGTAAGACTAGTGGTTGCTTTTCTCCTGTGGCAGCTTGCAAAGCATCTTCTGACACTGTGAAAGCTGGTCCTCAAGAAGGCTTCCAGGTCTGCAGCAGCTTCATTTCTTCACATCCTGTGACCAAAGTTGTGGTGTCTTAAGCAATAGGGTCCTACCTTCAAGTTCTGGGAGGCAACCAAGAGCAACAGTGATAGCCTACATTGCTTTAGAGGTCTCTCTTGGACCCCCTAATTTATCTTTATTAAGTCAATTGCTTCAGATGATTTGTTGCATAGCATGAGATTAGACTTATACATCTTCCTGACCATCATCTAGCCCAGGCCTACATTTCACTGAGTAGATTCAGCCCAGTCACTACTCTACCTGGAGTCTCACCCTTCACAGCCCACGTAGACTTCACTTTCTCCCTCTGAGCATCTCATGTCTTCACTGTAATCTCTTGTTCTTGCTGCAATCTCTAGAAAGAAAGTATAGACTATCTCTTTGTTCTTGCTGCTGCTGCTTATGAAGTACAGTGTGTGTGTGTGTGTGTGTGTGTGTGTGTGTGTGTGTGTGTGTGTGTGTATACATCTTCTTACTTCCAAGAGGCAGCACTAATGATTTGAAACCTGTATCAAAGCAGTTTCTAGCCTGGGATTTTTCTCAAGGATGGACCTTTGCTGCAGATCCTGGCCACCTGACACTCCCCTTTTCCTTCCTGCTTTCCTCCCTCTTTTCCTTTCTTACTCTGGGTCAGTATTTCCTTTCTGAGAATGCCTAGAAGTAGACTGTTCTTTATGATAATTTTTCAAAACTCAGATCGAATATTCATAGTATAAATGAGTGCAGAGAATCTTCGTAGGAATTTCTGCCTTTTCTGATGAACAGTAGTAAATGAGCACAGAGAATCTTCCAGAGGAATCTGCCTTCTCTGATGAAGAGGAAACTAAGAAGTTAAAATAAAGAAGTTTTAAATATATTTTTATTTAGTATTTTTATTTTATGTGAATGAGTGTATTGCCTGCGTGTGAGTGCACCCATGTCATGCAATGCCACGGGTCAGAAGAGGAGGGAGTCAGATTCCCTGGGACTGGAGTTATGGATGGTTGTTAGCTACCATGCGAGTGCTGGGAACCCAACCCAGATCCTTTGCAAGAGAAGTCAGTGCTCTTAACAGCTGAGCCATCTCTCCAGCCCCAAGATCACTGTCTGTAACTCCAGTTCCAGGGGATCTGACACCTCCTTCTGAGCTCTATGGGTATTGCATGACATGGGCACACTGAGTGCACCCATGTCATGCAATGCCACGGAGGTCAGAAGAGGGCTCCAGATTCCCCTGGAACTGGAGTTAAGGACAGTTCATAGCCACCATGTGGGTGCTGGGAATCAAACCCAGGTCCTCTGCAAGAGCAGTTAGTGCTCTCAATTGCTAAGCCATCTCTCCAACCCCATAGAATAAAAATTTCTTTTTCTCTCTCTCTTTCTCTCTCTCTTTCTTTCTTTCTCTCTTTCTTTCTTTTTTCTTTCTTTCTGTTTTTACAGAAGGAAGGGCTTATTTTCATTTAAGATTAAAGAGGAAGAGTCCATAATGTTGGGAAGGCTTGGCAGCACACAGATGTGGTGGCTGCAGCAGGAAGCTGAGCATTTGCATCTTCCATAGCAAAGAGAGTGAAACTGGAAGTGGGGCAAGGCTACAAAACCCTCAAAGCACAGCCTCGGTGATGCACCTCCTCCAGCAAGACTGCAACGCCTAATGATTCCATGACTTTCTCCAAATGTTACCACCATCTGACCTCCAGTGTTCAAATGCCTGAGCCTATAGCCAACACTTCTCATTCAATCCCCCACAGCTTCATATACTTAGAATAAAAATTTCTTAAAACATTACAGTGCTAACCAGGTAGATGGGAAATGCTAGATGCTAGATGGAGATTTGCTAGGTGAAAACAGAAAGCTAAGAAGAGGTTGAATAGAAGCTGCCCTGCTCTGACACTCAGTATTTTTCCATTTTGAGGAGGAAACTGAGAAGTTAAGTGGAACTTTTAGAAGCCTCTCAGGATGGAGTAAAGTAAGCCTTTTGGGTGCAGCTACAGAGTAGGCATTGATAACAACGAGCTCTGGCTTTGAACTAGGGCCCCAAAGCTTTTAAGGAAACTGAAAGAAACATGGCCACTGTAGGAATCTGTGTATAGGTTTTATCATTTCTGAATGATAAAATTCACGCTTCGGAATTATATGAGATTCCTGTGCTCAGATACTCGGAAGGAAGCAAAAGGAAGACATTATCAGTCCTATCTTCAAATTATTTCTACAACTAATTTTTGAAAATTTATTTATTGATATTTATTTTTATGTGTATGAGTGTCTTATGTGCATGTCTGTAAGTGCACCTGTGATATGCAACATCATGGAGGCCAGAAAAGGGCACCAGAGCCCCTCAAACTGGAGTTATGGATAGTTATTAGCCCCCATGTGCATGCTGGGAACTGAACCCTGGTACTCTGCAAAACCAGCCAGTTTCCTTAACCACTGAGCATCTCTCCAGCCCATCTACAAATAATTTTGAAGTAAAATGTTCAGCATATAATCAAGGATGATCAACCATACTTACAGGGAAGCAAAGACTAAACTTATAGAAACAACAGAGCACAGAACTAAGCAAAGGGACTGTGGGTGTAAAAGTCATCAGAGACATTCTGTGATGGTTAATCTCATCTGTCAACTTGACTGACTTTAGAATCACTATGGAAGCATACCTCTGGATGTGTTTATGAGGATGTTTCTAGAAAGGTTTAAGAGTAGAAGGAGGACTCGCCCTGCATGTGGATGGCACCATCCCATGGTCTGGGGTCCTGGACTGAATATAAAGGGGAAAGTGAGGGGCTGCAGAGATGGCTCGGTGGTTAAAAGCAGTGACTGCTCTTGCAGAGGACCCGGGTTTGATTCCCAGCACCCACATGGTGGCTATGAACCATCCTCACAGTGCACTCACATACATGTAGTCAATACACTCATACTCATAAAATAAAAATATAAATAAAATATTTAAAAAGGGGGTAGGGAAGCGGGCTGAGCACCAGTGTTCTTTTCTCTCTGTGTCCTGGGTGTGGGTACAATGTGGCCCTTCCTCCCTTAAGCTGCTTTTGTCAGTATTTTGTCATAACAGTGAGAACAGTGACTAACACAGATCATCTAAAATGAAAATGCTTACACTGTCAAGACTGAAGATTTCAGTGGGAAATTAGTATGCATGAAAAGTAACCAAGGAGATTTGAAAAAAAGATAAAACAAATTTTAGTTCTAAAATTACAATAACTAGAATTTAAAACTCAGTGAATAGGTTTGGGCTCTACTTAATGAATAGGTTAAACAAAAGAGGAAAATCAGTGAACTAGAAAACTGTTTGGAAAAACTGTTATAGCACATGGAAAACGAAAGTATAGCAAACTCAGAAGACACAATAAAGAATATACAGGATACAGTGGAAGGATGGGATACAGGTAAGTGGGGGTCTGCCCGACAGAAGAAATGTCCAGGAGACAGTGGCTACGGCTGTTCTGTAGCTAATGGAAGACATCAGTCCCTACACTCAAGACCCGGTGACTCTCAAGCATAAGAAACAAAGGAAGCCTGTTCCTAGCATGACTAGAAAATGAGCAGAAAGCTGGAGATGACAAGAAACTCTTAAAAGCATCATGGGGTGAATAAGACGTTACTTTCAACAGAGTGACAATTAGACTGGCAACTGAGTTCTTGAGAACAAGAGAAGCCAGCCAGAAGGCTGTGGAATATTGTATATATTGAAAAGCTGTCACTGTCAATATAAAATTCCTAGTTCCTTCCCTCCCTCCCTCTCCCCTTCTTTCCTTCTTTCCCTTCTCTCTCCTTCCCTCCCTCTCCTTTTTCTTCAGACAGACAAAACTGAAAGCATGTATCAGCTGCACACACAGAAGAAACTCTAGTGTATCACCAAAGAAGCAAAGAAGTTACCTAGATGCAAGGACAGAGACATAGGAGGGATGAAAGAGCCTCAAAAGCAGTGTTTATGTGACTAAATTTAAATGAATCTTGATGGCACAAAACAATAATAATAAAGTTAAAACAACTTATGGAATAATGTCAGAAAAAGAAACCACATATAACTTGGAGATGAAGAAAATGAGGTTCAAGTGTTTAGAAGATTTGAACAATGTTATTAAAATGAACTGAAGAGGGCTGGGGAGATGGCTCCATGAGTAAAGAGCTTGCCACACAAGCGTGAGGCCCTCAGTTCAAATCCCCAGAACCTATGTAAAAGCTGAGCTTGGCAGCAGACATCTGTAGCACATGACAGCTAACAGCCATCTGTTAAGTCCAGCTTCAGGGCTCTGATGCTCTCTTTTAGCCTCCGTGGGTATTGCATGACATGGGCGCACTTACATTCAGGCAAAACATTCATACACAATAAAAAAGAAAGAAAACAAGAAGCATTTGGAAAAGTTGATTACATAGTAGCTAGAAGGTCCTAGCTTTTCCTGTTTTGCTTTGTTTTGCTTTCTTTTTTTCTTTTTTTAAAATCTGGAACACTTCACAAATTTGCATGTTCTCCTTGGTCAGGGGCCATGCTGATCTTCTCCGTGTTGTTCCAATTTTAGTATTTGTGCTGTCGAAGTGACCGTGCCTTGCTCTTTGGGTATAACATCATCATTATCAGGGATACTTTGCTATTTAAAGACAGATAAATAAAACAAAGTCCTTCACAGAGATTTCTTTCCAGAGGCCACCATGCTCATGTTTTCGAGTTGTTCATTTGGTTTTCAGATCCTTCATCTTCCTTGCTCACACCCTCTGCCTGCTTAGCAAGCCCGACTGTGTCCAAGGCCTCAGTCAGTCTTCCTGGCTTCCTTTGCCTTCCGGATCTGTCTGGATGTCAGCAGAAGTCATCCCTCGACTGTGGAAAGATAACGACAAATGAAGACCCTTTCAGAGTATCTTGTTCTGATGTTGGGATTGCTTTGGACTGAACTGTGAGAAAAGGTGCAGATTGCTAACAGCACGTTGTTCCAGGGATTCACCCTGCATTCTGGATCCTTTTTGAGGGGTTTGTAAGACCCAATGGAGTTAAAAGTTCTCCTTCACTTCCACGACCTGGGATTCCTGCAGTCTCTTAAATACATGGAGCTTCTGGGGTTTCCTCAACATCTCTTCCCCATGCATGTACTTGACCTCATACTTAGGGTGGAAAGTTACTATAGTCACTGGCCTCTGGAAGATGCACCTGGTCCTTCTCAACAGAAGAACAGTAGTTGCACCAATTCAGTGTTTGTCTCTTACCTTGGCTTTGACCTTGGCTAGCTGGACTTCTCTGTACTTCTGTAAATGAGGGGTATCATACTTCTTTCGAGATTCCCCAGCACAGGTTGGCTTGGAAATGTGTTTCCTAAAGGCTCCTCCATGGCTGTAGAGCTTGTCCTGAAAGCCCTACTACTGAGTTGCGGGCAGGGCTAGAGTTGGTGGAAAAGGTAGTCGCCTTGTTTTATTATTTGAGATAGGGTCTTATGTAGCCTAGTCTGCCTCAAACTTGCTATGTTGCCAAGGATGACCTTGAATTCCTGATACACTTGTCTCCATCTTCCAAGGCTGGGATTACAAGCATCTACCACTGTGTCCAGTTTATATATGGAAAAACTGAACTGAGAGAGTTAAAGAACTTCTCTAAAGTCAAACAGTCAGCATCCAGGATTTGAACCCATGCACTATGTTAAGGGTCTATAGACTAAGTGTCCATATGGCATGTGATGGCTAATCCTGGGTGTCAACTTGATTGGATCTGAGATTAACTGAAATGAAAGAGATCTTCTTGATTGGATCATCTAAAGCCAGAAGACACACCCTAAATGTGGGCGTTACCTTCTGATGGCAGCCAGTATAAAAGACCAAGGCAGAGGAGAACGCCAGACTTCTTGCTGCTTGCCTTCTCTCTCGCTGGTGAGTTCATCTTGCTGCTGTAGACTGAAGACTAGCTGATCTTTTGGAATTTGTCAGACCTTCAGCACCGGATTGGGACTACTGAGACATCCAGCCTTGTGAACTGAGTGACTACGGATTGTCAGCCTCTCCAGTGTGGTGCAGCCATTGTTGGACTACTCGGACTCTGTCCTGTGAGCTAAGCTGATAAATATATATTCTATTGGTTCTGTTTCTTTAGAGAACCCTGACTAATACATGGCACTATGTGTTAAGGGTCTATAGACTAAGTGTCCATATGGCACTATGTGTTAAGAGTCTATAGACTAAGTGTCCATACTGTACTATGTTAAGAGTCCATAGATAAAGTGTCCATACTACACTACTTGTTAAGGGTCTGTAGGCTAAGTATCCATACTGTGTTAAGGGTCTAGAGACTAAGTGTCCTTACTGCAGTATGCCATACTGAAACTGTTTAAGAATTTAGAGTACTGCTACATTAGCAAGGTGTCATAAGAGAATAGAAACGTGACTAGTCCTTTAAATTTTATTTTATGTGTATGTGTATTTGCGATTGAGTATATGTATGTGTACCATGTGCCAGCAGAGGCTTTGCATTCTCTGAAATTAGAGTTATGGGTGGTTGTGAATTGCTGTGTGGGTGCTGGGAACTGAACCTGGGACCTCTGCAAGAGCAGTAAGTGCTCTTAACTTCCAAACCATCTCTCCAGCCCCCTTTACCATTTATTGATTAAATGGTTTGAGGTTTTTTTGTGTTTAACTTTTATTGTTTTTTTTTAAGAACAGTGTCTCCCTGTAGCCCCAGCTGGCCTGGAACGCACTATATAGACCAGACTGGCCTTGATTTCACAATCTCATAAAGATCTGCCTGCCTCTGCCTCCTGAGTGCTTGGGATGAAAGGCATGTACCACCACACCTGGCTACATACACACACAGGCACACACATGAGTGAGAAAACAATTTAAATGTTTTACTACAAGAATTCAACAAGCATATAAAAAAACAGGAATTGGCGAGGGGGACAAAATGTTATAAGGTAGATAGAAGTTGCAAGATGACAGAATTCCAACTTTACCAGTAATTATTGTAAATATAAATGTGAACAGATTGAATTATTCAATCAAAAGATGGAGATAGGTAGAATGTATAAATAAACACCATTCAACTCTGTGCTGTCTATATGAGGTTCACTATAGATCCCCCTAACACAAATAGTTTGATTTTGTTTTGCAGAACTCAGGGCCTCATACATGCTAGGCAAGCACTCTACTACTGAGTTATAGCCCTGACCCTGAACACTAATAGTTTGAAAGTAAAAAGATGAAAAAAGACATTCCATGCAAATAACAACCCAAAGAGAACAGAGGTGTATATACTAACATAAGACAAATTATACTCTAAATAAAAAAGATCATAAGGGACAAGAGAAAATATTATTGGTTAATAATATGTTCAATACAACAACAATATATGGTATACAACAGTTATAAACATCTAGGTATCTCCTAATCACAAGCACATGAAAAGATGCTCAACAGCAGGAATCATCAGAGAAAAGCAAATTAAAATCACATTGAGGGGCTGGAGGGATGGCTCAGCAGTTAAGAGCATTGGCTCTTGCAGAGGACCTGGGTTCTGTTTCCTGCCACCCACATGGTGGCTCACAACTGCTTATAACTCCAATTCCAGGGGATCTGGCACCCTCTTCTGCATGGTGGATATAAACTCATGCAAATACACATAAATTTAAAAAAAAATGAAAAAGAGCCAAAAAAATTGGAACCATACATGCTGTTGGTCAGAAGATAGAATAGTGTTGCTACTGAAGAAATTAGTGTAGCATTCCTAAAAATCTAAAGTTAGAATTGGTCCATATCCAAAATGATGGAAAGTAGGAGCATCAAAGAAACTTATGTTCCCTGCAATGGATAACTGGGAAAGCAAAATGTAATGTACATACAACAGAATACTAGGCAAACTTTAAAAGAAGGGACATTCGATATACGCTAGAGCAAAGATGTCATGCTAAATGAAACAATCCAGTCACAAAAAGACATACCGGGCCAGGGAGACAGCTCAGTCAGTAAAGTGCTTGCTTTACAAGCACCAGGACTTCATTTGGATCTACACCACCCAGGTGAAAAAAAGAAAGGTTGGGCCAGCAAGATGGCTCAGAGGATAAAGGTTCATGCTACTAAGCGTGATGACCTGAGTTCCATGCCAGAGCCAACATGGTAGAAGGAAAAAACTGATTCCTGGAAGTTATTTTCTGACCTCTACGTGCATGTCCAGGCAACACACACATACGCCTTATCTAAAAAAAAAAAAAAAAAAGTGGGCCTGTGAGATGGCTCAGTGGGTCAGAGTGCTTGCTACTAAATCTGACATGTTAAGTTCCATCGATGGAGCCCACATAGTAGAAGAAGATAGGAGAGAGAACTGACTCCCACAAATTGTCCTCTGCCCCCCACACCAAATAAATAAAGACGTACAGTGTATACAAAACACACACATATGCACGAGCTGCATGATTCCATTTCAATGAAGTACTTAAAGTCATTAAAATCTCAAGACAGAAAGCGGAGCGGTGGCTTCTGGGAGCTGGGAAGGGCAGGTGGTGCATTATGTTAATAAATGTCTCTGTTTTACAGGTTGAGAAGAGCTATGAAAAGAGATAGATGGTAATGGCTGTGTAACATTATAGGTTTTTATTTTAAATGTTTATCTTTGTTTTATGTGTATGAGTATTTTGCCTGCATAAATGTTTTGCCTGCATGTATGTATATTTACCACATGCATGCATGTGCCTGCAGAGGCTAGAAGAAGGTGTTGGATCCCCTGGAACTGGAGTTAATAGACTGTTGTTAGCTGCCATGTGGGTGCTGGGAACCAAACCCGGGTCCCCTGAACTAGTAGCCAGTGCTCTTAGCCACTGAGCATTCTCTCCAGTCCCAACATTATGGATTTTAAAACTACTACTGAACTGTACATTTAAATGTGGTTAAAATGGAAAATTGTAAGTTATGTGAATTTTACGACAGTAATAAAAATAGAAAAAAATCCATTATATATCTTTATTTCAGCCACAGCAGAAAATACAAATTGTGTAAAAAGTAACATTTATTATAGCATAAAATATGATGCATCTAGAAGTAATTTCATCAAGATATGAGCAAGATTTCTACCTGGTAAAGTATAAAATCTTGAGGGAAATTATAAACTAGATTAATGCAATAGGGTTCTCCATATCTCATATAAAATGTTTTGGTTCTCGGTCCTTAACTTCAGTTCCAGGGGAATCCAAAGCCCTCTTCTGACCTCGTTGTGCACCTCTTCATGTGCAGCATTCCACGACACGGGTGCACTCACATACATGCAGGCAATATACTCATACACATAAAATAAAAATAATAAGTAAAATATTTTTTTAAATGTTTTGGTTATCTTAGAATTGACCAAGAGAGTCTTTGTAATCTCAGTCAAATTACTCACAGGATTTGCTTGGGGTGGGTAAATGGACAAATTCAATTCTAAAGTTGGTTTTATTTTTAAATTTTTATTTCTTATATTGTATATGTATGTGATTATGTGTAAGCATACACATGCCATAGCACATGTGTAGAGATAACAGGATATTATCTGTGTGGAGTTGGTTCCCTCCTTATTTTTTATGTGACAAATATGAAG